GTTTTAGCTGTGAAAATTATTAATTGCCTTTTAAAATTTTGCTGTCCTAGTCTTTATAGCGCCGCTGTGCAGAGGCGTTCTCAAAAAGAAAATGTTGAGCCCCACGTCAGAGGGCCCCCACCCCAAGCCTCCTCGTGACTGTTTAAAAACTCCCCAGACATATTGTCAGCTGGTGGTGGTTTTGGTAGCTGTGGAATGCTCTACCTTGTATAAGGAAATGGTTGGACTACTTGTCAGAAAAATTGCAGAGTTGCTGTTTTAAAAATGTCGTGGCATTCCATGGCAGTGTGGCTCATTATCTCACGGGGCTTGATCTTCTTTGGTTCAAATCATGACTCTGGAAACATGAGAACGTTTGGTGTCGCAGGATCTGTGCCCAGACACGGCTCCTCTCCCATCCCTAGGCTGCCCCTGCTGCAGCTTCCTCAGAGACGACATTGGCTGGGGTTTCACTGCATCGGGTGTAGGACTGTGTGAGTCGGTTTCACCCAGGTGGCCTTGGGCCCTTTGGGGAATTAGATGCATTGAGCAAGAGCGCCTTTCCTTTTGCCACTTTTCCCTGGTCACTGGAATGTGTTCGTAATATGGCAACATGCACTTTACTACTGCAGCGAGTAACAAGAGCTCGCAGTGGGCTGATCATCATTGCAGAGTTGCGTTGAGCATAAACGATAATTCAAGCTCTGTGGAAGCACACTGCTGTTTCTGTTGGCGACTAAGTCACAGATCCTGCCCATACTGCTGTGCTTTCCTGTCTTACACTCACCACAGAGGGAGGTGTCCATTTTCAGAGATGTGTGAAAATAAAGATGGATTCGTGGACTCCCTGAATTCTTTCCACAGATGCCCTGAATTAAGAACCATTTCCTGGGGGCTCCGGGTTTATTCTAAGTGGATATCCACTTCTACCTGCTTCAGATTCTTTTCTGTGCTTGTGCCTTACTTATGTGTGCTCCTCCGTTCTACTGTGCGTGCCACAAGTCCCAGGGTACTACATATTCACTCACCCTTGCTTCTTCATGTGCCCAGCTCCTGTGGCAGAATCTCACAGTGACTCATTGAAATGCCTTGCAACACACGTGACAGCTTGTCCAGGGCCTGTGCAGCATTTCCCAGCCAGACATCCAGGACCCAGGCTCCTTCTGACTTCCTGCCCTCCCGCCCTGGGCTGCTTTCCCGGTGACTCTAGTGGTAAAGTGCCTACTAATGCAGGAGACATAAGAGACACAGGTTCGATCCCTGGGTCAGGAAGATCCCCTAGAGTAGGAAATGGCAAGCCACTCCAGTACTCTTGCCTGGAAAATCCCATGGACAGAGGAGCCTGGCAGACTGTAGTCCATGGGATTGCAAAGAGTTGGAAAAGACTGAGTGAAATATATCTATCAACCCTGGGCTGCAGCTTTTAGCCTTTATGGCAAGAGGCACTTATGCTACCTCCAGATGTCATTTCTGTGACTTAGGCAGGAAGAACGGGGGAAGGATAAAGGGTAAAAGACCAGGCCCATTGAGTTGTCTCTTTTGTCAAGAAAACCCTAGCTTTCGTAGCAGTTCTAACCAGGATACTTCCTCTTGTAGCTCATTGGCCAAAGTGAGGCCATATGACCATACAGAGCTGCAAGGGAGTCTGAGATGTATTTTTAGTGGCTGTGTTGCTGTCCCAGACAGACTCAGTAGTGAGGAGGAAAAGAGAAGAAACCATAGATGAGCATCTATCAGAATCAGCCCTATCACCTGAGCCTCCTGTTTGCCATTATTACCTCTCGATCCATTCAAGTTCTACTTGTCCTGTCTTCAAGGCCCACATCTCCTCCACTTCCGTAGCCCACACTGGTCTATCCTGCTTAAACATTGAACTTGGAGAGTTAGCAGGGGCCTCAGAGTCTTCTAGGGAAGTCTCCCGCTCCTCATTTTGGTGAAGAACTGAAGCCCAGAAAATGACTTACCTAGGATCATATTGTAATGGTAATGATAACACACACGCCCACACGCATGCACACACGCTCGCTCACTCCAGACGTGTTAGTTAGCTACTTACTTGACATAAATTACCATTTAATCTCCCCAGTACTTCTCCACGGTAAAGTAGCTATCGCCTGCCTTTTAGTTACTAGGAAACCATGGCACAGAGATGTTAAGTAACAAGGGTGTCCTGCTCCAGAGGGACACAGCCAGGGTCCAATGCTTGGACCGCCTTTCACTCTTTGCTCTGCCTCCCTCTCAGCTGATTGGTGTTGAAGATGCCACTGAATCCAGATCTTCTAGTCCTTAGGTCTTTGTTTTTGCACTTAATTTTCCTCTGAGTTAGTGTGGTTATTCCTTCATTGTAAGGCGCTTCTCGTCATTCATAAGTGTTTCCTCTTACCTGGATTTAATTGAGTGTTTTTATGTCCTAACTGGCATTCTCACTTTCACCATTTCCTCTCTCCCAGTCCTCTCAGCATAGCTTGAGTGATGATTTAAAAATATAAATCAGTTTTCCAACTCCCACTTCAATCAGTGGTTTTCTGTGACTCTCAAGCTACAGCCATCACATGTTCTGGATGCTTTGTGTATCGTGGAGGGGCTGAGTGGTCCAGCTGTCTTCCTCTCCAGTCTCACGCCGTCTCCTTCCTCTCCTGCCTCTCTCCCCTGTTCGGTCACGTGGCCATGGTTCAGTCTCCGCGTCCTCATCACACAGCTTCGACCACAGAGCTCTTGTGTCTGCCGTTGCTGCCACCGGGCTTTCTCTCCTCGCCCCTCCTCACCTTGTGGATTTCCAGTGGCCGTCAGCCCGGTGCTTCTGTCCTCAGGAAGCGCCCTCCAGTCAGCATGCCCTTCTGCAGGCTGGTCTCACAGCACCGAAAACCTCTTCTTGTCACCCTCACCAGAATTATGACTTTACATTTATCTGTGTGATTATTTGATCACTGTCTGTCTCTCCTCTGGATTCTTGAGGTCAGATTAGGATTGATATCTCTTTCTTCTAGTTTTTCATCCCACTGCCCCACTTTCTGTGCCTGTCATAGAAAGATTGCTTAGTAAATATTTGTCGACCCCCCCCCCCAAATTATCCCTAAGCATCTAGCACAGAATTGAGTAAAAACAAAGATTTAAAGGGCACAAGTAAAGTAATGGCATAGGTCACTCTAATACATAGAATCTTCCAGCGTCATTCTAAGATGGACCCAAAAGGGTGGTTACTAGGGACTGGAGGGCAGGGGGATAGGAGAGATGAGTAGTAAATAAGTCTAGAGTTCTAATGCACAGTGTAGTGAACACAGACAACAATATTGTACTATAATAATGAAACATGCTAGGAGATTAGACCTTAATTATTCTAACCGCAAAGAAAAATTATGTGAAGTGATAGAGATGCTAAGTATTGGCTATGATGCCAACTATATCACAATATATAAATGTATCAAACAAGCTGTACACCTTAAATTCATACAATGTTATAGGGCAAATATATTTCAATTTAAAAAATAAGATAGACCAAAAGGACTTTATATAATGGTTCCAACTAAAAAAAGGAATTCAGTATTTATTACTGCAGAGTAGACAAGCCTAGTTGTCAGAAGGGGATGTAACACGTACCGTACCCTATTTAATCTCAGCGTTTAATATCTTACTCCTCTAGATACATCATAATTGAACACCTTTTTTTCCTCCTGTAGCTAAGATCTTAGGCATATATGATTCAAACATGGTTTTTAAAAGTGCTCATCTTGAAACAGTCTCGAAATCAACCAGCAGGTACCAGATCCATGGCAGAGGAGGGAACATGGGCTGCATGTAGCTTCAGGGTAGGAAGAGGAAGCCAAGATGCTGCGTGACAGCTGGAAAACTGAGGGAAGTAGGAAACATGAAGAGGAGATTTTAATTGTCTGCATCTTGGGAAGGTTTGACTGGATGGGGTGTTCAAGGGGAAAACATGTTCTAAAAATTCAGCATGTAGACCTAAGCAGATGGGGCAATTATCTGAGAGTGTCAAAGCCCTATTGGCGGGAGGGGGCGAGTCGACTACCCTGAAGCATCTGTAAAAAGGGCCTAATTTCCTCTAAAGAGACCCAGACATAGAAAACAGACTTATGAAGAGAGGGGCCTGGCCAGGAAGCAGAGGGGGGAGCAGGGACGGGTGGGGGTGGGGGACACGAGGGGGAGAAGGAGAGGGTAGGATGGATGGAGAGAGGGAGAGAGTAACATCGAAATACATAGAGTGCCAACTGTAAAGTAGATAGCCAGAGGGAATGTGCTGTGACTCAGGAAACCAACCGGGGCTCTGTGACAACCTAGAGGAGTGGGATGGGGGGGCGGGCAGGGAGGGACATTCAAGAGGGAGGGCATATAGGTATACCCATGGCTGATGCATGTTGATGTTTGGCAGAAACCAGCACAATATTGTAAAGCAATTATCCTTCAATTAAATATAAATAAACTTAATTATAAAAACATTTGTTAAAAAGACTACGTGTCAAACCTGCGCTGGGGTTGCAGTAGAAGGGAGATGAGAAACTAGTTTTTTAAACTGTAAAGACTTATTGTTCGTATGTAGTTTTACCTCTCACGTCTACATATCAAAAAAATTTTTTTTAATATTTATTTTTGCTTATTTGACGGTGGCAAGTCTTAGTTGCCACATTAAGGATCTAGTTCCCTGACCAGGGATCAAACTCGGACCTGCCACCTTGGGAGCAGAGTCTTAGCCTCGGGACCATCAGGGAAGTCCTTGCGCATCAAATTAAAGTCGCTGTCACGCCAGCTGAGTGGGTGATGCCTGGAGCTCTTGCCCTTGGTGGACCTGCAGGGACCACTTTATCTCCTGTGGGGGGCGGGGGGCGGGGATAAGGGGCAGCAGTGATGCCCCTGCGGACACACCTTATTTGGCCCGCCCCGCGCCCTCGTTTGCAGACCTCGTTTGCACCGACCACCAGTGGGTGCGCTGAGCCCCGAGGGGCCTTCTCAGCCTGGGTCAGTGGCCGCCGCGGTTCTCACGCCTCCTTGTCGCCCTCTCCCCGCAGGAATCGGAGGGCGTTTCCTGCCACTACTGGTCGCTGTTTGACGGCCACGCGGGGTCGGGGGCGGCCGTGGTGGCGTCCCGCCTGCTGCAGCAGCACGTCGCGGAGCAGCTGCAGGACATCGTGGAGATCCTGAAGAACTCGGCCGTGCTGCCGCCCGCCTGCCTGGGCGACGAGCCGGACCACGCGGCCTCCAGCAGCCGGACTCTGACCCGCGCGGCCTCGCTCCGCGGAGGGGTGGGCGCCCCGGGCTCCCCCAGCACGCCGCCCACGCGCTTCTTCACCGAGAAGAAGATCCCGCACGAGTGCCTGGTGATCGGGGCCCTGGAAAGTGCATTCAAGGAGATGGTGGGTATGCCCCCGGACTCCGGGGCAGCAGGGGCCGGGGCGGTCACTTAAACCATATCTCTGTTTCTTTCGAGTCCCCTGGAAGTGCACGTCTCTGACCTGCCCATTCCTCTGCATGCTCCTCCTCCGACTTCTCCCTGGCACAGCGGGGCTTCCATTCTCAAAAGAGTTCTGGCATCTTGTGCTGTTGAAAATGTAAAAGAGGATGAAAGAGGGATTGTGCTGAGGTGATAGGCTTATTAAATGAATACCTTATTGCTCCTCTCTCTGCCAGCTCTTAGGACTACCAGCTGGTACCATGGCACTTAATGGAGCAAGGAGGCCATCTGTATGACACCTGTGTGTGAGTTCCAGGTGTCTGGGGAAACAGCGCTTTGAGCAAAGTGCTCAGAAGTACCTTTCCTGTTACAGATCCAGTCTGAGAACATGATTGGCAGTGTGGTTCCCATTGCTTAAAGCAAGGAGGGGCCCATATCTAAGAATTGTTTGTTTTCCGTGGGAACGGATTGATTTGTTGGTACATTTAAATTGGAACATGTGTGATCAAGAGATTCCGCCTCCTTCCTGAGAACAGTGTCCCCTGCGGTCTTCTGCCCTGTGACCAGGCACGTAGATGGTCTCTTCTGCCCCACCCTTTTCCCTCTTGAGCTCACTGTATGCGGTCACACTTATTTGAGTTCCAAAGATTTTCTCTCCTGAGCAACATCCTGCATGCAGATTCAGTAAGAGATATGTAAAGATGTTATAAGGACTGGAGTAGAGTGAGTGGGCAATAACAATGTCCTTTAAACCTGGAGATTAACAAGTAATAACAATGGATGTCCCTGGTGGTCTAGTGGTTAAGATTTCTCCTTCCAATGCAGGGAGTGTGGGTTCCATCCCTGGTCAGGGAGCTGAGATCCCACATGCTGCGCCACCAAAAAGATAAAAACATAAAAACAACCCCCAAAATCAAAACATAAAAACAAAAAGCCAATATTATAACAAATTTAATGAAGACTTTAAAAATGATCCACATCAAAAAAAAAAATATTTAAAAGAAAAAAAAGTAATGACAGTGGACTTCCCAGTGGTGTTCCAGTGGCTAAGACTCTGCGGTCTCACTGCAGAAGGCATGAGTTCGGTCCCTGGTCGGGGAAAAACCACAGGCCGTGTAGTGTGGCCAAAAGAAAAAAATAGTAATGACAAGCTCTTAAAGCAAGACCTACTGAACTGAATGTACACACAGAATGTTAGAATGCTCAGAATGTTAGGTTGAGTGCTAATGAGAAGAGAAAAGTAAATAATATTAAACAGCATCATCTCATCTGATTTGTTTACAAAGCAAAACTAGTTCCTATAGTCAAGCATCTCATTTGCACACTCTCTTCTCTTTAACTCATTTCTTCTTTGGTCCCAGTATTTCTCTCCATGTAACATTGAGTAGCAGGTAACTTGCACCTCCATCTCGGGAGTATTTGGTAGCCTTCAAGTCCAAGAAAAACACCAGGAGCCTGGAAAAGATTATTTAGGAAAAAAAGAATTAAGGTTGTAAAATTGACTCCTATTCAGGCTTGGTATAAAATCTCCCTCTATCAGGGAAGCTCTGATGTGATAGCTGTTTCTAAATGCGATTGCTCAAAAAGCTAAATATTTAGTTGAGGTAAAAATCTGGCCATGGACTGTGCCCATATGGAAGGAAAATTCCTCTTATATATGAAAAACAGAAACAACTTTGGGAGTTTTGTTTCCTTCGCTGTAGCTGGTGGGGTATCTTTTACTTGGAATTGCTGTATTCTCAACTTTATCCACTAGAGGCCGATGTCACGTTGAGTCAGGCCCCCACACTGATTTCAGACTGTTTCTCCCAGTTAATGGCTCAGGGCTCCTAGCAACTACTGTTGAGAGCCTCATTCCAAAAAATACTCAGAGCCTCATCCTGGGTCTTTTTGTTTGTTTTTAATTTTTTAAAACTTTTCACTAATTCATAACCAGAAATTTTTCTTGCACATTTAACTGCCATCAAAAAGATCATTTCACTTTCCTGTGTAATTTATTCAATCCATAAATATTTGTTGAAAGCTACCTATAAGCCAGGTCTCACTGGGAAAAGAGAATTGAAGAAATGAGGCAAAGGTGGGTGTTAAACAGATAAGATATAAATGGGAAGGGCCTCGAGAGGAAAAATGCAGGGTGAGTAGGAATCTGATAAAGGGATGAAGGAAGGGTTCCCTGGAGAAGTCCTACTGGGGGAGTAGGGGCTGGAAGAGAATGGCCCAGAGAACTGGGGGCTGGGAGAGTGTTCTGGGCAGAGGGAAGTCTTTGTGTGAAGAGCCACATCAGAGAAACCGCCCAGATGGGCTGAAAGCAGCAAGCTGACATCCACCACAGTTGTTCAGTCACTAAATCACATCCGACTTTTTGCAAACCTGTGGACTGACTGCAGCATACCAGGCTTCCCTGTCCTTCACTGTCTCCCAGAGTTTGCCCAACCTCATGTCCACTGAGTCAGTGATGCCATCCAACCATCTCATCCTCTGTCAGCCCCTTCTCCTCCTGCCTTCAGTCTTTCCCAGCATCAGGGTCTTTTCCAATGAGTTGGCTCTTCAAATCAGGTGGCCAAAATATTGGAGCTTCAACTTCAGCATCAGTCTTTCCAATGAATATTCAGCGTTGAGTTCTTTTAGGATGGACTGGTTTGACCTCCTTGTTGTCCAAGAGACTCTCAACAGCACCACAGTTGAGAAGCATCAGTTCTTTAGCACTCAGTCTTCTTTATGGTCCAACTCTCATATCCATCCATGACTATTGGAAAAATCATCACCTTTACCAGATGGAGCTTTGTTGGCAAAGTGATGTCTCTGCTTTTTAATACACTGTCTAGGTTTTTCATAGCTTTTCTTCCAAGGAGCAAGCGTGTTTTCATTTCATGGCTGCAGTCACCATCTGCAGTGATTTTGGAGCCCAAGAAAATAAAGTCTGTCTCTGTAGTTAGATGACAGATTTCAAGAGTAGGGATGCTGTTAGGTGACTTGGAGAGGCCGTCTGTAACCAGCCTATGGATGACTCACTGTACCATAGAATGACTCTGGGGCTTTATGCCATATCTGCTCGTTTCTGATCCACCTACCTTGCTGCTTCCTCTTCACACTTAGGTTTTCCCTGGGTTGTCTCTCTAGCCCCCAGCGTGCCAGAGGCCCCCCTGGGCTTTGCTCCATGTGCTTCCTTATTGAGTGAGAACATTCATTAGTCCTTGCTTCTCCTGGTTCTTGGCAGGGTGGCCGACATCCCAGCTCGCCCGGGGACTGAGCCAGCAGATGCCTCTTGGCCCAGAATAGTTATTAGTACTGTCCGCTTTGACTCTCCAAAGTGCCCCTGTCTGGATGATGTTTTATGTTTACCCTAATTATAGAGAGAGGCTCTAGTTTTCCCATTGCTTCATCAGGGACTAGAGGAAAAATCTACCCCGGTGTTACAGAAATGTGCCTGGCTTAACCATTAAGTACCCTGGGTTGAGCTGCAGCGCTCACAACACAGAAGTCATATAAGTGTATCCTCACTTGAATGTCCTGGAAGGCCACTGCCAACTCATAAAAAGTATTTTTCCTCTCCTCCTTCCCTCTATATTGGGTTTTTGAGAGAGAGGGTGTTTGACGGTGAAATTTGCGTTTTAATAATGTGTAGGGCGCTACTTTGTTGACCTGCTCTTGGTGGTTGCTCCTCAGGCCTTTTCAGGGAGGAGCAGGTTTGGAATTACCTAGCCATTCTTAATTTTTTTTTCCCCCTTCCGACAGCCTGCTAGCTTTCTAGCTTTCCTGTTGCTAGGTGTTCTTTAGGTTTTGCACACTTTGTGCCATTCTGATCCTCTGTAACAGGAAACTCACTGGTGAATAAGATTCAGTCACTTCAGCTCTGTGACTCTCTTGCTTCCTCTTGTACTTTTAATCCCCGCCCCCCCCCCGAACTCCCCATGCCCAGCACTGAAGCCTCAAATTTGCTGTTCTGATGACATCTTTGCAGCCACCCCTCTTGAGATTCAGAATGTGACTTATCCTTAAAGGCAAAGCTTGCCTTCCATTTGGGGGTTTTGTTTTATTTACAACAGTTCAGGGAAGTAGAATCCGAAGTCTGTCTTTTCTCCTTCTCTCTCCCCACCTCCCACCGGTTCCCTTCTCAATTACTGATATTTATTTAGCTTATATTTTATAACCAGCATTCTTCTAGACACCATGGGGATCTAGAAGTAAAAGATTTGATTTTATATCTGGGGCATTTGTAGTCTCATTAGATGAACATAGAAATAATACAGCGTTTCGTTTGTTTTAATACTGAGACATCAAGTGAAAAGTTGACATCTGTCTGAAGGAGAGAATCAGTTAAAAAGATTCAGAAGCACCAGGCCAGAATATATAGTATTCATCTCTAGGAAAAAGCGGGTGCTCGTCAGAAAATGTAAACTAACAGAAGATGGTGGGGGATGCTGTGGACAAGGGGAGATGTTCAGCAAAGTTGTTCAGTCGCTCAGTCGTGTCTGACTCTTTGTGACCCCATGGACTGCAGCCCTCCAGGGCTCCCAGTCCATCACTGTTTCCTGGAGTTTGCTCACACTCATGTCCATTGAGTCAATGATGCCACCCAACCATCTCAAGGGGAGATGATAAGTTTCATCCAATACCATAAGCTTCTTTGAAGGTTCCCTTTCCTCTTTGATTCTGGGGTTGCCTAGCACAGTTCCTGGCTTGTGAGAAGGTGACCTCTGACTACAGGCCCCTGATCCATGCTGGCAGAGGAGGGTTTCCCCTGCACCCCCCTCCCCATTGTATCTCATCTTGGATCTCTCTTCAGAGTGAGAATGCTGGTCCTCCTGTGTCCAGCGTGGAAAATGAACCCTCCCTTTCCAAAGGACCAGAATCTTAGGGACTTCTTGACTAGCTTCATTTCTGCTTTCCAGCACCCTTTTATAACAATGCCTACTTCCCCAGCTAAGTTTTGTCACTTACTATGTAGGTTGATCCAGGATG